ATCCCACCTCACGAGATTCCAACACACGACCTATCAGTCTCGCGCGCGAACGCTTAACCACTAAACAAACTTAGCCGACATCCAACGGTGTTAATGTCTAACTTCAACTAATCCACGAAATTCAGCGACACACTATTGTCATCACTGAGTTACTATCTCACAACAGACCAGGTTGAACTCCACTGGTCACTGCTTCTCACTATAAACTCCAGGAAATAGCTCTTAAAGCCAGTCACTAGTGAGCATATGTTGATAAGTATCAGAAAGAGTTTTATGGATATCATAGTAATATTAATGGTTGAGATCATGAGTCAAATTTTCCATGGTGGTCTAGTTTCAATTCACTCATGATCACAACCATTAAAAAATTTATGTAATTATTCAGTAATTTATAACTATTATCAAATTACAAATAAATATAAATGATTTTATAGTTTATTCCAATGACTCATTAAAGAAACATTAGTTCCATAATAAAATTGATTCTTTTTTTTTGTTGTTTTGGATGAATTAATTGAAGGCTTAGTGAAGAGTTTTGTAATCATTAAAGAATTTACCACAATCCTAATGTTTATATCATACATCAAGTAACCAATATAATTTTCAATGGAATTTCTTATTAAAGAAATAATTCATTAAATCAGTATTAATACATATATAATGTATATATATATTACAAAAAAGTTTACCTTTAAGTAGAATTATAGTCTAAAGAAGATAATTTAGAATAGTTATACTGAAGAACAACATATAACAATAGAATGCGCTTCCCTAACGAAAAAAGACGGAATAGTTCTGTTATAAATCATACTTCTTTAAAAAAATAGAATTATAAATCATGTTTCGTTATTAAACCAGATTAGCATAATGTAATGAATGATATGTCATCATAGGTTAGGTCATAATGTGAATGTTATATGTACAATATGAATGATTTAAGTGAACTTAGATGATGGCTAGAAGTGGAATCCAGGACGCGTGTTTGATTCTATTTGGAACTCGTCAGTTCAGTGTACCTGCATTTCAGGATTAATATTCACTTCGGGATTGGAACTCAGTACCGTTCACTTCAAACACTATCATGCTATTCACTTAGCTACTGAGTCAACATAGCTACTAACTTTTACAATGGGGTGACATTTAATTCATCTTGTATTGGTTATTTGAATCTTCCTATTGACGTTTAGGATTAAAATTGATCAGTCCCGAAGTAGACATCAACTCTGACATGCAGGTAGGTTCAGCTGATGAGTCCCAAACAGGACGAAACACCCGTCCTAGATTGCACTGCTAGCCACCATTTATCTCTGCTTATAATGATTGTGACCTAAGGTAAGATCGAGGCAATCTGCACAGCATGAACATATGCCAATAAGAGATTGATCGATTGCCATCCTAAACGTTAGTGCGAAGATTCAAACAATCCATACAAAAATGAATGAATGATTTAATTTTGAAGACACATAGTAGTTGGTTGATTAATTAGGAGAAATAATCCTGAATGCTATTTCTTGATAAGATTATTTTTCATCTATTAATTATTATTTTATAATATTTACAATGAATGAATGATCAGATTTGCATAATATGAAAATATTTGTTGTTATGAACTAACATCCACCTGAAAATTCACTATAAATTAAATAACATTGAATACGGATTGCTACATCTTGTACTCGATTCTGGATGAGTTTGTTGAAATACACTACTTAAAACAAAACAACTTTTCAATACATTTTGACTTACAATGTATTCTTCAACAAATGTCAATTTTCTCAATTAAAGTTGGTAATATTTGCTATTTTAATAATAAATATATTTTTGTTATATCCCAAGGACTAGAAAAATTGTATTCCTGCCTTAATGTGGGCCACTTCTTCAGAGTAAATTTACTCTGAAGAAACGTCAGGAATACAGTTTTCCTACTCACTAGGATATAAGAAAAATGTATTCATTATTAACTCTCTACCTAATGCTGCATTTATTTGAAACTATCACATCCAACCTTGGTATTGATATTTATTTGCTATTTTCTTTAATAAAGTTTCTAATAATATATCGCACAGAGTTCATGAGCATTGTGACAAGCGATGTCCAAAATCTGATACTGATACACTGTGTGCTAGGTGCTAACCACCCAACTGACTACTTGAGTGAGAACCTGAGCGAGAAAGTATACTAGGCTATCGAATAAAATGTACATATACTTATTCATATATATACCACTCGATCCTTACGAAATCAACCCATTTCTTAGCCAATCAAATGAATTTGTCCACTAGGTCTTTTTTGATTGCCATTGATTGACCTTCTCATTAGGCTACTTCTGATTGACTCTCCATATCAATAAGTTGAGAAAATAAAATGAAATTTAGTATTGTTTTCATGCACTGTTAATGTGATTTCTTCAGTCCAGTGGTTTTATTTCGTATGATAATTAAAAAGAGCTTGTTTTCATGAATAATAATTTAACTAAAAAAATTTTGTTGCCGTCTAATTAACAAATTACCGGACTAGTAAATTCTCTTGAATGAAGATCTATACGTTATATCTAGTATAAAGTTGCCATTTTCAGTATTATGAACTTCGTCAGTATAGAAATAATTTCCAAAATACTAATAGATAGATAGTAATAAGATGTAAGTTGATAGTTCATGGTCACATAATATAGAACTACTTATACAGTAATAAATTCATTTATCAGACTTTATAAAATATAGATGGAATAGAATCAATTAAAAAGAATATAGTTATGTTACTAGAGAGATCAGAAATACAATACGCTTATTAATATTTAATAATTATATAAGCAGATTTCCATTTTTGTTGAAATTAACGTTGTGCATATCATCATTGAAAAATGGTGTATACACCAATTAGTTTATAAAAATGTATTTATCCTTTGAGATACAAATGAATGGTGTAGATAATTGAACCCTGAAAGAATTCGTAATTTAATTTAGATAATGTATAATTGAAGATTTATTTCCAGAATATAACTACTGTTATTAATTTGATAGTTATGAGAATACAGTGACTATAATTAACAATGACGTTCATCAAAATTGGAAGGAGTATGTGAAGTTTCCTTAGAATAGGAAATAATACTCCTTCCCTATACTGTGTTTTTAAATTATCCACTAGTAAGTTGAGATAAATTTGTTTTCTTATAAAGTAGCTAACACTATGTGTTGCTGTGAATTAGTATTAAAAGTAACTTACCGTGAAAAAAGATCCTTAGTAAACAAGGATTATATACATTATTCATGAACGATATATTTTGAAGATTATTTTGTCAGTATATCTCCATTACTTTGATTTTAGCTTTCTTATTAGAAATTACTAAACGGTTCAGAACTACCATTTTACAGTAATGTATTATAGAGTATTTATACTCTACGTAAAAATGAACTAATCAATTTGGAAGAACATTTAAAGATTGACCATCTACCATTTTCTATATTGTTCTAAGTTCATCATTAGTTTTAGAGTTTGTCTATTGAAAAACCAACTGTAACCAAAAAAGAACAAGGACAATTATCATATGAAATCATTGGAAAATTTAAAGTAGTAATTGGGTTTATAGACTTTTTAGGAAGTTTTTCGTTTTTGTTTATGAGAGAAATAATCGTTTTCTACTCAACTAAATTAATATATTCCTTTAGAATCAGATAAAGATTGATTTCAAATGTATATGGAAGAATGTTTATAATTAGTAGTATGTCCTGTGATTTGAAAACAACTATAGTGTCGTATCCTTCATCTTACCAAAAGTTTATAAATGATACTACAGAAAAAATGTACAAAAATCATCCCAATTTTCATAGCGTTAAGAGAAATATTTTTCATCGCATGACCTAGATAATTAAACATAATTTCATACCATATATATATATATATATATATATATATATATATATATATAGTATGATCATGATAAAAACTAAGGAACACAGCTAGGAACACAGCATAGTATTGTACTTTAATGCATACTTATTAACATGCAATCTCTATTGATACTTGGAGTCCAAACAAAATAATCTAGTTTTCTATGATAAATAACTTCATAGATTAATAATAAGTTTTACTTCAATATAGTATTCAATCATAGAGTTGAATATGTGAGTAGAACAAAGCTCAAACAAGCTCAAAACTAATTACAACAGGTTCTATTCTGAGAATTCATAGTTTACTTAACCAAATCAAAAAGGCTATATACAAATCTATTTATTATTCATTTAGTTAGTATTTAGTTTATTGAATACTAAGAAGTACTCAATAATACATAATAATGATAAATAACTTTAAACTAATAAGAAGAAACGCTACGTAGGAATTTCAAAATAAACTATTTACAATCGATTTATCATTGAAAATAAACATTTCTGGAATCTACAAGGTGAATAATATTGATATATTATACACAATGCAATATAATAAAATGAGTGAATTATATTATTGTTGTCAGTGTAATCTATTAACACTTCAAGTTATAGAACAATTTACTATTTGATGAGAAAGTAAACTATTATTTATAACCATATTGAGTAATTTAGTTTAATTAATGAAGAGGTTTAGTTTAATATGACAAGTAATAAACACTAAAATAACACTTACTAATTGATTAATAGGAAGTAAACAGTGTAACTCAATTACAAAATCCCGTTAAAACATTGTTTAAGTACTAAAGAATAGGTGAGAAAAAGCCTAACCGCTGACTATATTATGTCAGTTAGCAGTGTAGTGAACAGAACACGAGTGAGGACAAACGTATGTATTTGACACAAAATTACAGGACTTTTTAATAAAATCTAACAATCAAATAGTATAGTAAATACGTAATTTGCAAAATGTCCATCAATTGTCTCATAATAACTCAGACTTCATTGTTCTTGCATTTTCATACAAATTGCATTCTGTTTCCATTCTTTACTGTTCGATCCTCATGTCTCTCTGCTTCCAGACATTCTGTTCACGACTAACACCATCTACTACTTATGTCAATATAAGTAGCACACACCACAGCAGGGACGTAGAGGTTTGTTGTCTATCTTTCATGTTTGGAACATACAGAATTAAATATATGATGATACTTCATCACTGTTAAATATATTTCTAACACATAATTTTTTAAAAATGTTGTTCATAGAATATCAAACGAAAGCATTCATATAGAAATTACAACAATCAGTCCATGCACATATTAAGCTCTGTAACTCTAGATTACATTACATAGTTTACATGGTGTTATTTTAGTTTCGTATAGTATGAAACGGAATAGCTAGGTTGATTTCCTCAGTAGGTAACTAAAATGTGCGTTGTTTTATGCATTCTACATTATATGCTATAATGATACACAGGCTCAAGTTTTCAGTTGTACCACGTTTATGATGAGTTGGACTAATTTTATTAGACTGCGTAATTCAAAATAAGAGGTTGCATTTAATTTCTGTAACACCACAATATGTAATTTTAGCGCTGAAATCACTGAGCTACGTTCATATATGCATAAAACAGTCCACTTATTTATTCAATATTAAATTCTTAAAGATAAAAAAGACGTAATTTGATGTGTCAAAAAAGATCATGCCATTTTTGTATTAATATTACTAAATTAAAATGTATCCGAAATTGAACACAGTTAAAACAGGATTATAACTGTCCATTAAGATATACATTTTATCCATGAAGAATGACTAGATTCACTAAAAGTAGCTATAAACAAAAGGAATTTATGAAGAAAGCCTCTATTTAATCGTTGGTAATTGAGATATAAGTGCACACTGTCGAAGAATCCTAAATTACGACGGGAGAACTGTGTCAATGCAATCTGATGTTCAATTGTTTCTATTTACCAGCTAACATTAATTTGTGATAAATATATCATTTTTATATTAAGTTTATGACTTCGTTTTAAAAAAATGTAATCATAAAAAACGAAATCTGTGCTAAACATAATGTATATATATGTAATAAAATCAATGCATACATTATACAAAGTGATAGACAGGAAGTTTTTATAAAAGAAAAATAGAACAAAAAGGAAAATAGCCAAGACAACAGCTGTATCTAAACAAATAATTAGAAATGAAAACAAAGTACATATATATCTATTATATGAGGAACTGCATCGGTGAACATTTTCGACTGTTCATTGATAATACTATTACATGAATTGGAAAGAAAAAATTTGAGTAGAATTTCACTCATTTCTATTAAGGCAATATGATAAGACGAGATATATGTAGAGGAATTTTTTTTATACCGAAATCATTCAATTTCATAAAGGGCACTCTATACGATTTCATAAATGTATATGGTTGTACAGTAGAAACAAAACCGATATATGTATATATGCGATGTACAGATTCAGCAGTAAAATTAATCCTTTCATACACTTTCTCTTTAACAGAAATATAAGGATGAAAAATTGGATAATGATCAAATCGATAAAGTATGTATATCAATATATTCTGAAGTGAATAAATCAATAAAATTCATGAAATAGAAGGCAATAAAACAGTAATAATTATAAGAATATTTTATAATTATGAATGACAAAATCCAAAAGTAAACATTAATGTATATGTGTTCTAGGACGGCGTCCCATAGGACCTTGGGGTTTTTGAAATATAAACTGTTTTTCTTCTTGTTTAGGATATAAAATATCCATTAAATATTGTGTAGTTAGTTCATCGATTTCATCAATTTCAAACTAGATAGAAGGAAAATGAATTTTTTTAATAAAAAATGCATTAATCATAAATAGTATAAAATAATACACACTAGAAACACATAAGAAGTTGTTCAATCCAATTTAAATACAATATTATAATTCAACTATGATGTTGCTCATTTTAATCTACAATTTTAAGGTAACCATGCGGAAAAAAACACATTAAATATGCAATGGTACAACACGGTAGTGAATGCTGAATATTGATCGAAAAGTTTTTGAAACCATAATTTAGTACAGATAGGTAACCTACTAAATATCATTTGAGTACTTATAGTGTAGTGGACGCTACTCAAAAGGATGTTTGTAAGTAGTGTATAGCGAAACGTGGTGTCGAAGTTGAAACAGTTGTTAGACGGAGTGAAAAGTTTTAGTGCATCGAAAGCACAGCATTGTTGTAACATGTAGAGGCCAGACGAGAAGACGGTTCAGACTATAGAACACACTGGAAGATTAAAGGCTACGTATATGTAATGTGTAAATACTTTGTGACATGATAAGCATACATTCCTCCTGCCTATTGTCATGTTTTACAATAGCAACGAACTTCTTTGTAATTTCGAATGGGGTGTAAACAAAAACATCTTAACTGTCTGCCTGTTGTTGAATCACCGAGTCGATAAAATAAAAGTCTGGAATATATTATGGAAAAATAATGATAAGTTAACGAGACAAAAACTATGAATCTCCATTAACCAATATCCTTATAAAGTGATTTATCTATAACAATCATTTGTATCAAGTGAATTGATAAACCGATTGAGAAGAAAACATGCAATAAATTGTAGGAATACTAAAGACAAACTAGCTATTAATGTAAATTACACTGAAAATATATTAGTGCTATGATCTCTCAGTGAAACATTCAACATCGTTATGAGTAACAACAACAGTATTTACTTCGTTTATATTGGTTGATTGAAATTACTAGAGGGACAAGGATTTATACCTAGAAATAAAAACATAATACTTTCAATTTCAATTAAGTGGAGTAGTTTTTTTTGCTCTTTATCTTTCCAAATAATCTGAACAGATCGATGCGATATTCCGAATATACTCTTTGTTTTAGAAATCCGTCAATATGAGGTGTAACAAAGTGTCCCTGATCATAGACTAATAAACTATTTAACCACTGACCAGATACACAATTAATATTTTATTCATCCTCTAGTTTGTGTTATTAAAGAAACCATGGATCAGTCAGTAAACAATCAAGATCATAAATTATCAAATGTGGTATAAAATACCAAACTGTCTCCTTAAATAAATCAGTCTGACCAAAATCATCCGCAGTTTCAGTAGTGATAAATTTAAATAGGATAATTGTGCAATAGCTATGAAGATTAGCTTTCGTATTCATTTAAGAAGGGAACAGTACCATCATTATTGTAGTAAGGTGAAATGAAAAAATAAAAGGATACCCAAAATAAATTACTACTTAATATCTATTTAATAATTTATTTTTAGAAACATACAGATAACAAACAGTTTGACTAAAGTGGAGTTAATTTATCCGTTTTTATTTATCACTTTCTTACAGTTCAGTTAACCAGGTTCTTCCGTCATTCTTCGTAGGTTGTTCAAAACCCGAGAAAGATTGACTCGCGAGGAGCAGGCTGGGTTTCGTTCTGGTCGAGGATGTATTGATCATATCTTCACCCTCCGCCATACTTTTCAAAGGCCAACAATCGTAGTGTTTCTTGACATCAGGGCTGCCTTCGATTCGTTGGATAGGACTGTTCTCTGGGATTGTCTATTGGAGAAGGGTGTGCCTGAGAAGTTTATTAACATCCTAAAAGCCCTGTATAAAAACACCTCAGGCAGAGTGAGGGCATACAACCACCTCTCTCCATTGTTCCATTCGAGCAGTGGGGATAGGCAGGGTTGCCCAATCTCACCATTACTCTTCAACTTTGCCATCGATGACATTCTGGGAACAGCTCTGATGAATGTAAGTAATGGTGGTGTGGATCTGTTGCCTGGAGAAAGACTTCTCGACCTTGAGTATGCGGACGATATTGTCTTACTGTGCGATAATGCCCAAGGCATGCAATCCGCACTTAATCAGTTGGCAATCAATGTCCGTAGGTATGGTATGTGCTTTGCACCTTCGAAGTGCAAAGTACTTCTACAAGACTGGCAGGATTCTAATCCTGTACTCACTCTGGATGGTGAGCAGATAGACGTAGTTGAGAAGTTCGTGTATCTGGGTAGCTGCATAAGTGCTGGTGGGGGTGTGAGTGACGAGATCAATGCACGAATAGTGAAAGCCAGAGCGGCTTATGCCAATCTGGGCCACCTTTGGCGCCTTCGTGATGTTAGTCTGGCTGTAAAAGGTCGGATCTACAACGCGTCGGTGAGAGCAGTTTTGCTCTATGCTTGTGAAACCTGGCCTCTCCGAGTTGAGGACGTTAGACGACTCTCTGTGTTCGATCATCGCTGTCTCCGAAGGATTGCTGACATTCAGTGGCAACACCATGTCAGTAATGCAGAGGTTCGGCATCGTGTGTTCGGGCACAGAGATGATAACTCAATTGGTGTCACCATCTTGAAACACCGACTTCGGTGGCTTGGACATGTTCTCCGAATGTCGTCCCAGAGAATTCCACGTCGTGCATTATTTGCCGACTCTAGGACTGGTTGGAAGAAGCGGAGAGGTGGTCAGTGCATGACATGGTGTCGTGGCATGAAAGAAAGCTGCAAAGGACTGGCTTCTGTCGGTCCTTCACGACTCCCTGGTTGGGGTCCGAGAGATGATGCTAGACAGTGGCTAGAGACGTTATCAGATATGGCTCAGAATAGAAGCCAGTGGCGATCCTGCTGTAACCTTCTTTTACTTTCTTCATAAAAAGTGGTTGTGTCTCCTTTACCTGAAAGATTTCTTCTGATTGTACCTCTTCGTCATTACTCTCTTTTTCTTTTGCGTTCCTTAGTTTTTTTTTCTTTCTACTTCTCTTCGAATTCCCATTGTTTTGTGTGGCGCTCTCTTGTACCAATATTTATGTGTTCAAATAAATAAATAAATAAAACAAATTATGAGACAGCATATTAAACCAATACTCAATTGGATATTGGATCAGTGAAACAAAATTAAACATTATTATTTACAAATAAAAACACGTATAGAATTATTTAAATGTATAATGATTGCATGCGAACATTCTCTCTGATGACTGCAGAAAACATTAGTTAGGAAAATTAGTAGAGTAAAAACTGAAACTCGGATGTTTTACATTAACAATTGACTCCCTAATCCATTATAACGTTCCTCTCTACCATTGTTCTTATAGTAATTTCAACTAAAGTTGTGTAACATTTATGCTTAGTAAACCATTCTACAGTGAATAATTTTTTTATTTAAAAAAAAGAGAATGTTCAAAAGAGACAAATCCGACAGTTGTAACATCAATAATAGATAGGAATGATAGGTAATAAAACAGTAAAATTAGAAAATAATTATTTCAGGTTTAAATAAGTACAAAATCAATATCTTTATACAAATAAACACAAGAAAACGAGCGAAATGTATTCAGTTACCATGGCATCCAATTAAATAATCATATTTGTACTATAATCTCAAAAGTACACTTCTACATTCCCCACAACTTCAATAACAGACAACAGATAAATACAGAAAGTAAAGTGAAGAACATACATACAAATACAGTAGTAAAAAATTACATTTTGGTTTATTAATGTAAGTAGTTTTCATGTAACACGCCTAAGTTGAGTAATACGAAAGAAGATAAACGGTAAAACGTAGACAATTCATTTACAGGAAATTAATCTCAATTTTATCAGTTTCTACTTAAGGCAAAAGGTGGATGAGTACTTTTTAAACAATAAATGATGCTGTCAATTATGAATTTATATATCACAAATATAGAATTCCAAAAGACAATAAGGTTAAGTACTATTCAAAAACCACACCCAATCTATTATACATATGGTGAGAGAGAGATAGATGTAAATAACTGGGCATTAGGTGATCACCAAGAGCCTTGAAGGTGCTGAGTTTGATTCTCGGTGGAGTCATGCATGTACACTAGTGAGAAACCCCATAATAGGACAAAACAACATACTAGTGCTTCATGGTTCTGAATGACTCTTTAACCAAGATAAGCCTGTGACGTAAAACGGTGAAAAATTTGGTATCAAGTTGAAATTAAAGTTAGGAGGTAAGAAATGTTAATATTAACACACTTAATGGGATATAAACGTTGAGTAGTTGTTTTTGTAACCGAGTTAATTTATATTGAAGCCATTAGTAATACGACATTCAAGCAACAAAAAGCTAACTATATATAAACAAGGTACAAATAATCAAGTTGGTAAGTAGTTTGCAGCTAATTAGTTAAAACTTTTGAAACCAATTAATGTTTTTAGTATATTCGGTCTATCTCTGGTGATAGAATCCACAACGCAATATATAGACGCAATCTGACCAGGATCCACACGGTAACAAAAGCTGATCAGTCGCAGTCTTACAAACAAACGATAGGAAATTACAAACGCTTAACTAATTAACGCTTTGCTTAGAAAAGTATTTAAAATTATGAAGAAATGGTAAGATATTGTCAATATGTTCGATATGAAAGTAAAGTGGTCGGTCTATATTTCTTTAGAATTTATCCTGACATTCCTTAAAAATTAACTCTTAAATTATTAGGCAGAATATTGATCCATCTAGTCTAAAAACAAAATAATCGGTGATGTCATTCAGATGAAATCATTGATATGAGAAAAATTAAACAAATTAAATCGAAGAAGACTTTATTGAAGTCAGATTAAAAATGGAAAATACATCAGTGAATTTTAATGATCATTAGTCTGATTCCAATAAAAAAATACTATGCTTGTGAAACAATGCAAATAACTGGAGAATTTTTCATTATAAGTATCGAACAAAATAATTTTGTTGCTCAGCATATGTATCTTTATTTATTTATTTGAACATATAAATATTGGTATAAGAGGGC